TTGCTATGTATGAAAAACTAGTGGTGACCTATTTCAACTAGGCTTTCAGATGGGATTTGGCACTGAAATTGCTTTGTCATCTTGGCAATCTGACTATACTGGAAGGTAGCTGGGAAGAGCATGCTGTTGTTCTCCTGGATCTTGAAGCAACTTTGATGTCAGCACCAATGGTATCTCTTGGATCTCCTGTTAGGGCTGGGGATTAGGTCTATTTTTGAACTGACTTCAGCTGATATTGCTAGGAGGTCAAGTCTTGGTATACGTCAGTGTTGGCATGCTGTATGCTTATGATCATGAATGAATGGATTTTACCAAGACATCCATTCTCTATCAAATATGCAATCTCTGAAGAATTCACCTAGTTCTATATGTGAACAATTTCTTTTTATATGTATTTCCTATTTCTTAACCGTCCACCTCCTTCAGATTCCTTTTTGAAGGAATATATAGAAATGTGAAGTCCATAGCCTTGCTTAGGTATTCTTCCCATTTTTAATAAATGGACTTAATTGCCAGGAATCTAACTGTACAACATGTGGAGGGATAGTTTTTTCTTTAGTATTTTTTATTTTATGAGGTTTCTCCCTCTTTTTTTTGTTTTTTAGCATAAAATCCTTTTAAAATCATGCCTTATGCAAGAATATGAAATCACAGCATTCTAAGCACAGTACTTCAGGGGTCTCCAATCTTGGCAACTTTAAGAGTTGTGGACTTCAACTTCCAGAGTTCCTCACCCGGCTGAGGAATTCTGGGAGTTGAAGTCCACAAGTCTTAAAGTTGCCAAGGTTGGAGACCCCTGCAGTACAGTATGTTGTTAGGGCAACCTACAGGCTTGATGAATCTTGAGCACCTTTTCTGTTGGAGACCCACCTGACTCCACAGCCCAGAATGATTGGGTGAATTTGGGTCAGCTATTCTTTGTCAGTCCAACCAACCTCACAGAGTTGTGAGGAACATGAGAGGCAGAAGTATTTGTATATTGGCTGCCTTGAATTGTATTAAAAAGGGCAGGGTAAAAATTAAATAATGATACGATTTGTAATTCATGTAACAAGCCAAATTTAATATGGGATTGCTAAACTCTGCCTTTTGTTAGCCATTTAACTGATTCTATTAAAGGAAACCACTGTTTTATTGATGAGATAATTCTGTATATTCTAGAATCAATGTTAAAAAGGTGATTACAGTATTAGCATAGACTTATATAATTACCTGACGTCACAGGCAGGACAATGGTATGGTGTCAAGTTTCCAAAAGATGCCCTAATTAATTCATGAGCCATGATCCAAACTTCAAAGGAAATATATCTATTTATTAGGAGCAACATTCCGGCAATACTTGGATGCAGTTAGGACTGATCCTACGTAGATTTACGTTCCCCTATGACCCTGTCTCTCCCCTCCTCTCTGGCCATGTCATAAATCACATTCTCCAATTAACCACTTTGGCTGGCTGTGAAACCTAACACCCTCCTTCCGATTGCGGTCAGAAAGAATGTATGGAATTCACTTCAGTTCTCCCTCCCTCCTGCTCATGGCAACTTGAAAGCTTTGCAAGTTGACATTCGGCTCCCCTCACTTCCCGAGGGCGACCTGTACAAAGCAAAACAATTTGAGTACAGATGCAGAGTTTAGGGATGTCCAAGTAGTAAGTAAGTAAGTAAGACAATTTGATTGTCCAGGCTTGTTCTGAAAAAGTGCACTAGCAACCGCTCTGGCAAAGGGGGTAGCCTCCTAACAACTCTCCTAAATTCGTGGATGTGCTCTTTAATGGGACGGCCCCTCTGCTTTAGATAGCTGAGCTCATCCTCTGCATACAGGTCTTCCTTCCTCTGCCTCCTCAATCTGGCCTCTAGCAGTCATAGGAAGTCATCTACATCTTGCAGTTGGGGGGCACTGCTCCTCTCTCCTCCTGTTGGCCTTTGTATGCTTGCATTTGATGTAACTGGTCCTCTTCCTCAGCTCTAGTTTGGAGGGAGAGGGGTTTGTCTGCCCTGGGCAGCCTGCCTGCTGCGTGGGAAAGACACTGGTCGCGGCTTCTTTCTGATGGATGGAGAAGGGGGGCTGTGCTCCTGTCTGCTTCTCCTCACTTTAAAGGGATCCACTGCTCCTCCCCTCTCCTTTGGCCTGCATGACGGCCCCTCATCGGGAAGGGTGGCTTGGTCAAATTCCTTCCTCGGCTGCTCTCTGGAACTCCCGAGGGGCTTTGGAAGCCTGGCTTGTTTCCAGTCCAACCTCCACTCCACTCTTCTCAGCTCGCTCAGGGGCTTCCCCTTTTCCCGGGCATTGGGGTGGGAAACTCGACTTCAGCTGCTTTAGATATTAGCTCCCCCCATTACTCATCTTTTCATGCTTCCGCCGCTGAAGCAGGCATCTCAGCTTTGATGTCCGAGGGAGGCTGCACACTGGCTGCAATTAGGCTCTCTTCAGATAGCTCGTCTCCGGCCATGGTTGCCTGATTTTCCCTCCCAGCACCCGAGACATTGGGGAGCTGTTGGAGAGTCCAGGATTCAGGAAACCTGGTAATTTTTACAGATTTTTAAAAGCAGTCCTAACTGTCTGTCAAGTTTCCGAAAGATGCCCTAATTAATTCATGAGCCATGATCCAAACTTCAAAGGAAATATAGCCATTTATTAGGAGCAGTTAGGACTGATCCTACGTAGATTTACGTTCCCCTATGACCCTGTCTCTCCCCTCCTCTCTGGCCATGTCATAAATCACATTCTCCAATTAACCACTTTGGCTGGCTGTGAAACCTAACACCCTCCTTCTGATTGCGGTCAGAAAGAATGTATGGAATTCACTTCAGTTCTCCCTCCCTCCTGCTCATGGCAACTTGAAAGCTTTGCAAGTTGACATATGGCTTCACCAGTATTATTATTATTTTTTTAGCATATGGCATATCATACATGGACTAGCAACATATATTAACATTTCACCTAGATTAGAAAAGCATTAAAAATATAAATGTTAAAAAGATCTATGTTAAAATACAAATGTCTAGGTCAGCGACCCCCAGGGACTGGTTCCATGGAGAGAGGTTTTTGCGTGGACTGGAGCAGTGGTGGGATTCAATTTTTTCTTACTACCAGTTCTGTGGGCGTGGCTTGGTGGGCATGACATGGCTGGTGGGCATGGCAAGGGAAGAATACTGTAAAATCTCCATTCCCACCCCACTCCAGGGGAAGGTTTGCAAAATCCCCATTTCCTCCCAATCAGCTGGGACTTGGGAGGCAGAGAATAGATGGGGGCGGAGCCAGTATGAGGTGGTATTTACTGGTTCTCTGAACTACTAAAAATTTCCGCTACTGGTTCTCCAGAACTGGTCAGAACCTGCTGAATACCACCTCTGGGCCCGAGGCTTTGCCTATGGTTTCATGTGCTGCCTGCTTCCCATGGATGGGGCTTCTTTTGTTTGTGTGGCCCAGTTTCTGGCATGCCGTGGATCACGGGTGCTGATCCATTTAAGTGCAGCATAATTTATATTTTTTAAAAAATCAAGATACTGGACAGGTATATGCCCTCAACTTATAGCTGATCATGTGATCTACAGCATTAACTGGGAACCATTATAGGCTATATCTGGATGTCTTCTAAGTCTTTCCAATAGCAAAAAGGCATCAAATATTCCACAGGTTCATACCTACTGACAATGACTTCAGTGACTTATTAGACTCAGCACAAATATGTGGGCAGGATTGCAAATGTGCTGAATTTGAGAAAGAAGGTAGATCAGGGGTATAGCATGCTTTTTATATACTTAACATTCCTACTTCTGTCTTTGAAATCTTTAATTAAAAGGTTAATTTGAGAAGAGCCACTGCCCATCAGAATAAAGAATGGTGCCTCCACATCCCAAAAGAGCTGGAGGAAGTCTTACCTGAAAGAAGACAGCTTCTTAAGAAAATGCAATTTTACAATTGGTGTTATTTTTTTTTTAACATGCAGGTTATATATATTGTATACAACTAAAATTATTTTAGGACATGGCTTTATCTTTACACGGAGATCTAAGTTTGTATTCCTGACATAGAAAGTGTAGTTTAACCTTAGAATATTAGAAAGGCGCTATTAGTAACGTGAAGCAGGAATAGGAAATTTTTACTGGTTGGAGGTCATATTTAGCTTATCAAACAGCCAGCAGATAGCAAGAAATATTCCAGTGATGTGGTGATGTCATTAAAGGAGTAATATCATCAATTCATTTTTCTTATAATTAAAGAGATGCACTATTTCCTTTACTTATTTTTACATTTTAAATCCGAAAACCCCACTTGCCAAAATATGGCTATTTGGATACCCAACATGAGTGGGTGCTTTGGTGCTCACAGATGGACTACTGTTGGTTTCCCACACTTAATATAGACAACACTGAGTTTAATCAATGTTTATATTTTTTTCAGTATTTGGAGATTCTAGATGTGAGAAAAATGTCTTCCTCTTTTCCACTTCTCCAAATTGCATTCTTCTCTCACATAGAAACCTGATCTCTGAATCCTTTTCTAGTTTTTCTATAGCTAAGGCTGTTGAGAAAAGAAAAAAAAAGACCTCTTGAAGTCCTTCTTGAGAAAAAAGAGAAGTCTGGATCTGATCTTTCTATTCAAGTTATCTATATCTGAGTAAGTTATTTAAAGTAGACTGGGGTAATTTTAATTAAGTAGGATATTTGTAAAAGGAGAGAATATCTGTAGCTCGTGGTTCAATTCCATTAATGGAATCCTTGATGCTCTGAGTTTGGAAGTTTGCTTGTAGACATTTCATTACCTGGTTCAGTAACATTATCAATGCTATGGAGGAGAAAACCCCAGTCTCATCAACATTGGAAAGGCAAACTACTGTATATAAACAAGGAGCAAACCCTCACATTCACTAGTACTGACAATGTTACCTGGTCCGGTAATGAAACATCTACAAGTACACAGTCCAGCTCAGAGAGCATACTTGCTTCAGTAGTATTGCATTGTACAGTTTTAAATAAATAACAGCCAACACCGATAACTGCAGTTATTCAACTGATGCAACTCGGTAATTTTTATTGCAACTGGAAGACAATACATCACAGAAACTTTATGGAAGGTTTTGGGAGAGTGTTATTTACAATAATAACTGATGAAAGAGTTTGTCTTTGGCAATATGATTACACATCAAGAAACATAAAATGCAAGTATGCCTCTTAGATCAACATTTTTCCATATTTCTGGCTGATTGCACTTGCCTTTTGACTGCTCATTTAGGTAAACACAAATACAACTTAACATTACTGTTTATGTCCCCCATCACAGTTCTCACTTATATTAAAGAAACTGGCAGTTCCATTCAACTAGTACAGCGTTTTTGGGGAAAAGAGGAATAAAATCAGAAAACAAAAACAAAAAGAACATAATTGGCTTATTGCTGTACTAAATTAACCTATTGGCCAATGAAGGTCTCATGACCCTTCCCTAAAGCATTGATATTGTATATATTGGTCTTTTGATTGCTTCATCACTTTTTTTCTGCAGAACAAAAATATTTCAAAAATATTACAGAAGAGTATAAAAATGTACAAATCCATAATGCTTTTTCATACGCACAGAAATCATTCCCTACCCCATCTCTTCCAACATTTGACCCCAAGGCAGACTGAAGTAGTGAGTGTGTATAATACAAAAGTGAAACCAGGCTAAATCAATTGATTTTGAAATTCATTAATGAAAGTATTAAAACAGAACTCCAAGCACCAACATTTTCATCTTAATAGTAGTACTGAAGGGAAAACTTAATCAGTGTCAAGCCAAGTCAGAAATCCAAACCTGTAGAAAAGATCAGATCTTTTCCTCAGAAATAGACATTAGGACAGAGCAACCCAAATCTCCCCTTTCAGCTTCTGCACACAAATCTATTGGGAAAATATGTGTGCAAACCCACAATTCTTACTTTCTAATTTAATCTCTATCAATTGTCTTGGGTGAGAGGTTGGATTTAGCTGCTCTTCCATAATCAAAAGATTGTTTGATAGATATGACTTTACTTCTGTTTTTTTTAAAGCTTAAACCTGGGTATTTGGTGTATACTTTGTTGATGCTGGGTATCAGGTGGTTCTCATTCAGAATTGAAAAAAACGAGAGGCATTTCCTCATTATCATTGACAAATAGGTTCAAAAATAAATTTTGTTTTAGGTAAGTATAGTTTCAAATGCTAGTCTTGAAAAAATAGCATATGAAGCTCTATGAAAAAAATGGTTTTAAAACATTTATTTTTTAAATTTTGAATATTGATTAGCAAAATACAGCACCAGATAATGAATTCAAAGATAGTTTTTTGGTTAGTGAAGTAGTGCTGGCATGCTGAGTTGAGGAAGAATTGCACAGACACAGTTGACTTTATAAAAATTTCACATCTACAATTTTGCATTTTGATTCAAGGAAGAGTTTGGAAAAAATTATCCCTGGCTTACCAAAGTCTCTCCACCCAATTTTCCAGTTAGAACTACAATCAGAAGGGAAGTTTGTATAAAGAAACACAAAAAAGAGTATGAGAATGTTCATATATGTGATAGCATAGAATATTTAGTAAATACTTATAAAATTCAACTTAAAAAAAATTCCTACACCAAGACTATAGATTCATAGGAAAAGTAAAATACATGTGGTTAACTGTGTTTTTAAATTCCTGATAGAAAAACAGACAGTCAGAGGTTGTGCATGGTTCTTTCCATACTGAAGTATTAACATATATTACATATTAAATAATAATAAAGTTATTTAAATTAGATCACAGTGCTGCATTTATGTGCATAACAGTGTTTTATATATTGCAGGCAGTGTCATGAAATTCACTCACAAACTTAACTACAACACAACCAAAAGAATGAATGACTCTGGTCAATGAATGGAACATTTAACAAGCCTGAAAATAATTTAGTAGCCAGGACACTGAATTCCACCACCATAATTTTCTTACTGGAACCAACTTCAACTCTACATAGTCTGTTTTGCCTTTTTGAAGGTGATAGAGACTAGCAAGAACCTGCTTGTATAAAGAAACAGCACACTGTGAAGAAGTACTTCCATTTGTCATAGAAAAATGGCTTTTAAATCACTTCTGTTCTCCAAAACAGATTATCTGAACTGATTGGCAACAACTGCTGACAAGTTTATACAGTTAAACAGATTCTCTTCTGTGACGTAAGACACTAATGAAAGTTTTCAAGTTGCCATCTATTCAATGCTATACAGAAATACAGCTAGGAGAACAATCCCTAGAGCAATTCCCAAGAAAGATTTGCAGCTGGCACATTCTGAACAGCTGATCTAAAATTCAGAAGATTTGTTCTAGTAGATTACTAATCCCACTTTATTTCTAAATCATTTGGATGCAAGTCTACTTTTTTTCAGGGAGAGACATGGATATCCTCACATCACGTCTCAATTAAGTTTCATTGTGGATACAGACCTCCATTCCAGCAGAACTATGTTCAACCTCTTTTGTGTTAAAAGTTACAACATAGGTACTCAGAAGGCATTTTTAGTCACCAAAGAACTGCATACTTTGGAGTGTTCAGAATTAAAGCACTTCTTGTAAAAGTTTGTCATTAAAAGGATTTAATGGCAAACCTAGATTGCTGACAAGAAATTCTGCAACGGTCTGCTATGAAAAAATATTACTGAGAATTAAATCACAATCCAAGCTGATACTGGCTTGAATCCAAATTTTATTCCTACCAATGGGATCCACCTCTGATAACTGTTTAGGGCATGTTCCCAATAGCATGTTAGAGGAACAGAAAAAGCCCTTTCATTTATGGAAGGAGAAATATGGAGTAAACAATTCACTATTTTATAGGAAAAAACTCTTACACATTATTTTGACAATCCAGAGTTCCTACAAAAATTATTTGCAGAACATAAGAGCTGCCTCAATTACCCAAACAAATTAAGAACGATGTAACAAGGTAGATGTATATGTTACTGTAAGTACATATACACATTCTCCTTGCCATTTTGCCACAATGCATACAGCACATGACTTCCTGCATACTGTCTCAGATTGTGTTATTTTAAAGACCTTCATACAAGAAGAATGTAACAGTGAGATCTACAACTCCTAAAAGCTTGAAGAATTATGCCTGAATGACAATGGGAATAAATTTACTGGATTATTTTTAGTACTCTATTTGGGAGCAGACAAAGACCAAACAGATGTTTTATTATTGCTTAAATTTCCCAGTTATGAACATTCCCCTCTCTTGTTATTTCAAAATGCCTGAAGTGTAGGAATAACTGGGCTCAACATATAGAGGATGGGCTCAACATATAGAGGATGGATTTCACCATGAATAGAAGTAGTATCTGATGTTTTTAACTTGGGTCCACCTATTTCATTTTCAGTTTGGCACTAAAGATAACTTGGCACAACAGAATAGTGTTGTGGAGTTTGTTTAAACTATTGATTATGGCTGTACAACAGAGAAGGTAAACTCTTAGCAAATCGTCCATAATTTCTAATAAAATCCAGGTATTTAATTTGCAACTTGCATACTGCTTACCCTCAAATGAATTTTGCCTTATTTTGTAAAAATATCAACTGTGATCGCTTTTTGTATAGCAATAGCTAAAATTATTTACAACACATTACTTTTTATTTAAGACGTTCAAATTATCGATGTTCAGTCAGTGGGATACAGTCCTGTTGGAAGCATGTTGTACATTTTTGTGGACTTTAGTAGACAAATTTTACTGAGACAAATTGCTTTACTTTGGATGGAATTGTGTGGAATAATATAACTTCAATATTATAATGTATAATGTCAGTTCTCTTTTTACATTATGGTATTTTCTAAATGTCATAACATTGGCCTAAGTAATAAAAATTTGAGTTCAGAATCCTTCCTGTCTACAACTTAAACAGCTTCACTGTGAAATAATTATTCTATTGCAATAAATAGCAACGACATATTTTACATTTCATCAGGATCCCATGGCAAGATGTATATGGCACTCTTCTATGAAGAGAAAACTCCTAATTCACTAATGTCGTTTCTTTTCATTAACTCTTAAAATTCTTGGTGTTTTTTAGGCAAATATCAATTCTTTCAGAAGGTAGAGGCAGTTTTCATAGGGATTCTAATTTTTGAATACACAAAAAAGTGTCTTGGTAGGCAATGCACAGGTTGAACTTGCTCTCAAACCTTTGTTATCTCAAACCTAATTTGGCACACATTATTTTAAAAATCTGTTTGTATCAGTTTTCAGTGGATACCATTTTCCTAGAATATAAATTCAATGACAGCTAAACATATTTTGAATTCTTTTTCAGTTTCTTGCTACTGACTATTCTCAACTCATCTTAACCTTAAAACATCTTCAGTAACATCACTACTCCCATCACTATAAAGCTATATTTATTTAAAGTAAAACAGCTAAGATCAAAAGAGCTGCCTTCCTGATAATTTCTTGGGAGAGCTTCCTAGAATTTTTGTCTGGCTATAGCTCCCACATTTTTAAGAGGAATTTTATAAGCTGCAGAATCTGGATTCTTGACAAGATCATGTAAAAGTCATGTGGAACCCAATCTACAAGTCTTAAAAATAATCTCAAAATTATGGCTGTCTATACAAGTATTTTTTGGGGTGGTGGTGATATGGGATATTGGCCTTATTATAAACTCTACAGTCAATTTACAGGACTACCACTGCGAAACAGGTATGGCCATAAGGAAGTTTCTTCTCTATCATGTACTCATGTCAAGTTGTGAACACAAATGAAAGCCCTTTCAAAACTTATCCTTCTTGGCATATCTGTGTATCTCATTGATTACAATCTCTCCAAATCCGAATTGTCTATCGTTTCCTCTCTCCCAACTATACAGCAAATTCAGAGTCTTTTCCTGGAGTCTTAATCATACACACTCACTACTTGCTTTGCCCTCAAAATTATTGCGTAATGTTAATACATGTAAAGACAAAGAAAGGACAAACATCTTCAAAAAACAGAGAAGTAGGGGAAGGGGGCTGAATGTGCAGACAAGGCAATATAATTCAACCATCCAAGCCCTACCCGAGCATGAAGTTTTATTTTTTAATATTGCAGAATAAGTTCCCCAACAGTCAGTATTTGTCCCTGAAAAAGGTTAAACCTTAAAACACCTGCTTCCCAAACAAAATAAAAAACAAACCAAAAAACCAAAAACCAAAACTAAGCCTATTGGCTTAAAAATTAGAGGCATAGCCTTTTCTCTATTTTTCTCTATTTATATGAAAATAATTCATGCTTCATGCTAAATACATTATTTACCTTACAAGAACTTTTGTTATCTTTGAATTAAAAAGGGGGGTTTTTATTTTGTACTCCTGAGCCCCTCCCGGAAATGTATCCATGCAATTTGAATCAGGATCAGTGAATCTGGCTACAGTGGATATAACTGGAAATATATTGTTATTTTTGCACAAATGTATCCTGGCTATTTAACAGGTACAGCATTTTGAGGAGCACTGTACAGAGTTTTAGTTAAGATTAGGATTTCTTGTCCAACCAAATATATTTGTTTTTTTTTTTAAATGTAATATAATACTAATGACAGGTTTTGTAGCATATGTATTTTGCTCTTCTCATGAGATCAATTTTTTTTATCCTATCAAAAAGGTTTCCTCATTTTGATCCTCTTTAAATATCTACTCATATTTTTATTTTAGATTTGATTGCTTTTCACTCAGGCAGTTAAGAACTCATAGCTTGTTTTCCCATAATATTTTTGCAGGCAGTGCCAATCTTCAGGCTTATGGCTTTTTAAAAAACATTCTTTTAATTTAAATATAGAAGACAATTAATTGATTAAAGAATATCACTAATCCCCCCAACCCCCTCCACCCTTTTCTCCTTATATTATTGAAACTCATTGCATACACAGTTCAGTTTCCATAATTTAAAAAGTTAAGTATTAAGTCTTCACATTATGAGCCATATACAGTACATGAAGCTTAAGTAATTCATTACTGTATGAGCAGCTGTTTTAGTGGATATTCCAAGATTTCTATGGCACAAATGCAAGCAAATGCCACTATCTTATTCTTGATTCTGAAGATGGGCCTCTGACTTCCCTCAAATTTATGGAATATACATACATGCACGCATACATACATACATTCATACATACATTCTCTCTCATTTAATTATAAGGCTTTTAAATTATTTTTCTAAGAGCCTGGCCTGGATCTACCATATTATTCAATTTCTCATTATATAATGTATTTTCAAGTGCCAATTTTTATTCTTCTCACATTAACTGGTGGTATCACAGCGTATTCAACCATGCATTTCTGACAGAAGTGGAGAAAGCAATGGCAATTTTGGCTTTTACTTATTTTTGTCTTCATGTAATGAAAAGCTTTTGTAAAATTAGATGAGTATCAGTATGAGTTCTATGGCTTCAATCTCCTTTAAAAAAATACAACACAAATATTTTGGGTTCAAAAAAGGGGGGAAAAGAAAAAAAGGAAAAAAATGGGAGAAGAAAAAAACAACTGAAGAAAATATTTTCTGATATTGCCACAAATCATTAGAATTCACCTGACGTGCTGAAACAAAATTGTTTTATAAGTTCAGTCAATGGATTTGTTCTCATTTTTCGTCGTGTCCTTTTGTTCTTTCTGTCCCTTTGCCGTCCGATTAGTGATGTTGTTCAAACAAGATCGAATTCCTGCCAAATGCAGGAGTGATCCAGCAGCTTCTTTCATCTCCTCATCATCACTCTCGGGTGGTTTCTCTGTGCGTCTCTTTTTAAGAGGCAGTGTGTCACTCGGTACTTTTTTTGCCTTCAATAAATGCTGACGTTTCTTGTGCTGAGAGGGGACCCCGCTATCAGCTACAGAATCCTTGGTCTCTTTTCGGTTTTGCCGTTTGCTCTCATCTTCTGCCTCACTATGGCTCTCGTGGCTATGGAAGTTGACCTCGCTGCCCTCACTACTGTCCCGGTTGCCTTTTGCAACAAATTCATAATGATCATCAGCAGAAGAAGAGGAAACAGAATCACTAGTGGGTGATGTGCTCCTATGGTTGGAAGATTTGGCACTGCTATAGTTATGATCCTCCTTTGGGTCACCACTCACCAATGGAGAACCACACGACTGCTCGCTCTCTGTCCTCATTCGGCAATTTGCTATTCCATTCCTGGAAAAGAGAGAGAGAGAAAAAAAAGAAAAGCATAGTCAAACTCTTGTGAAAAGCTGTATTTTTTGTGACAACAAGCAAATAAGCAAGTAAGGCAGACATCAAAATGCTGGAAGGAGATCGGTAAACTAGGCACTTTCCTTAGTATTTGTTGGAATCTTAAAACTTTAAGGAGAGCAGAGTCATTAACTCTGCCACCAGCAGTGAGCTATTAATTCTGGATGGCCTGCTGAGGGCAAAATAGATAATTATTATCATTAGGCACATAAGATTTAATCTGCTTTTCAAAAAATCTGATCATTTGAAGGTTTATAGATTTAACTGAGCAGACTAAGATAGAACAAACTCATATTTAAATTCATTTTGATTTTCATGTATAATGAAGTAATGAATGGAGATAAAGCATAATCTTATGATTTTGTTTGGCTGTTAGGATGTAAAGGAGAAGTTCATTTTTTGATTTATTTATTCAGCTATCTATTTTAGATACATGATCCAAGCATTTAATCATACTTAAAAACAAGATAAACACCATATAATAAAATTATAAATAGCACATATAGCAATTGAGAAAATTCAATCAACAACAATGAACATAAATATTGATGTCAATTTAGCCACACATCCAGAATCTTAGTTTCAATGACAAAACCAGGGTTTCAAGATTTTATGAAAGGCAGTAGAGTTGGGGCAAGTCCTTAAACACCAGGGGAATGTTGTTCCACAGGGCAGATGCCATGATATAAAACTTTCTTTTCATGGGTTCCACCAAATGACAACCCTAACAGATGGGACCCAGAGCATGCCTCTACTACTGAATCTAACAGGATGGGTATCAGATACAAGAGAGAGTTAACCTCGCAAGTAACCGAGTCCCAAGCCATGAAGGGCTTTAAAGGTAACTACAGCACTGTGTACCAAACCTGAAAGAACAATGACAACCAGTGCAGCTCACAAAACAGAGGTGTCAGATATGCTGAATCACTAGCACCCATAAATACCCATGACAATGCATTTGTATCAGCTGAAACTTCCAAATAGCAACCCTGTGTAGAGTGCCAGTGTCAGCCCCATGCAGAGCACATTGAATGGGACTTCTTTTGTATATCAGAGAAAGTCAAGTAAGATTAAAGTAATTAATTGGAGCCCAGGCCAAATGGCAGAGCCAGGTCTTCAAGCTATTGTGTGGTAGGTCAGGAGGGTGGGAGCCAACCTCACTCCAGAAGGGGCAAGAATGAGTTTTGCATAATTCTGATTTACACTTTAAACCTATACAAAAAGCTGGAAATTCTATGCAAAATTTGTTAAAGCACAACTCCTCAAATTTCATTATTGATGGTTATAGGTATTAGTAATAATAGCATCTCTAGACAAAACTGTTTTTCCACCACTGAATACACTATTATACACAATGATAATTAAAAATGCAGAATAATTCATTTTGAGAATTTCATTTTAATTCAGAAGAATGCAGCTGTAACCCATGGGGGAAAATAAATTCTTGTTATGACATTTTAATAACGTGATGCATGTGATTTACAGGTACCCTTATGTCTGCCACACTTGATTATCAATGCCAAGTAGATTATATACTGTGTGTAATGACTGGAGAGCTAAAAATACAAGGTATTTCAATGATACTTCATTGAAAAGGAGTTACTTTAAGCTTCATTATTATGGTGAGTGTCACTTAAGGCTGCAGTTGGGTAATTCACAGCTGCATCTATCCTATATCAGCTATTGCTATAAGATGTAGGGCAAGACTGGATAAACATTAGACCAGCTGTTTCAATCATGTTGTTATTTTCTACCATTCAAAACCTAATACAGTCATACATATAGAATTAACAAACTTGAAATCCAAGCATTTGTTCCAATATACTGTGTTTCCCCAAAAATAAGACCATGTCTTATATTTTTTTTTGAACCCTGAAATAAGCACTTGGCCTTATTGTCATGTGCTCAAACGCCCGATTGGGCTTATTATCAGGGGATGTCTTATTTTGGGGAAAACAGGGTAGTTGTATTGAGCCCAAGGACCAGGACTGCATATACTGTAGTTTTGCAACACTTTAGACCAGGGGTGTCAAACTGGCGTCATCACATGACGTATTGCGACTTTCCCCCCCTTTGCTAAACTGGGCGTGGGCGTGACCATCTGGCCCATGGGTTTGACACCACTGCTTTAGACAGAGCCTTCAGAGGTAATCTAAAAGTTGCAAGGAACTTCTGATTTTTAATGACAGAAAGCAAAATTATTAGATGTGTATTTAATTTCAATTACTAAATTCATTACTAGTTAATTTCACTTAAACCCTACTCAATCTTTGAGTCAAGCCTCTGGCATACCACTCAAAATGCCAAATATGACTCTGCAGCCAGAAAATATTGAATAGCAGTCAAAAAAAGTCAATGGGGAAGCCAGCAGAAAGTTAGAAGCCACAGGTTGGTAGGCAAGTAAGTGGGGGAGCAAGGGAAGTGCTGTACAGGTCAGACAGGGTGCATAAGAGGCACCACATGGATCAGAGGTAGTGCGAGGGGTGCCTTGATGATTGAGGATGGTGCATGAGAGGCACCAAATGCATTTGATGCAAGGAAGCACACAACAGGAACCGTGCAGTTTGTGGAGGGTACATAAGGAGTAGTGTGCATAAGAGACGTCATGTGAATTGAAAGGCAATCCACTGAGAGGCATCCCGCAGATTGGGAAGGGTGCAAGATGGTACATAAGGGGCACAACATGGGTCAGGTGGATTGTGCATGAGAACAGCACAACAAGGAACAATATGTGAAGTTTTGCAGGTGTTAGGTATCTCTGAAACAATGACCTAACAGATCATGGATTGTCTAGTATAATAATTGGTCATAGGAGAAAACTGCTTCTTCAAATATTGTTCTATTTAGAGACCTGGTGCAATTTGAGAAAAAGCTCCTGTTCAATTACAAATGGCTAAACTCTAAAATCTTATGAAAAGTTTGTCTAAAACTCCTGGTATATATATATATATAAAGGAAACTTAGCATCTATGGATGATAAATTATGCAGATCTCAGCGTGTGAAAAAAGACAAAGGCGAATCTCCTTCAGTTAAAATAGCTAAATGCAATGTCATTCATGATTGTGCAGGAAGTCAGCTGCATTTACCATGAGGCAGTGTCACCAGTGCAAGAACTAAGATTAAATGACGCCAAATGCTTAAAGGAAGTCAATCATGTATACATTGAAAGCAATGTGGTACAGTGGAGAATTTTATTTGCACTTCCTTAAAATGAGTTTTTAAAGAGAAAGCAAATTGAAGAGATTTTTTAAAAAAGTTCTTAAATATTTTAATTTTTTTAAAAAAAAATTAAAAAATGTTTTAAGATAAAACATTGACATTTTGAGAAAAATAATAACAGATTACACCAGTTTATGAAAAAAATTGCTTCTTTTTCATTAGTTTGCATAAAGATGGGGTATATGCTTCAATCAGCATATACCTGATAACGGTATAACGATAACCATAAGAGCCTGCATGTTGTAGCAGAGTTGCAGAAGATCATTGTTAGTTTGAGGATTTTAGTGACATATTTTGATATCTCCTTCATATTAAGAAAAGTCTAAAGGTTCTGAGCTCATTCTGAGCTAACCTGCTTGTTTTTCACTTTTGTTGAATAAAGAAAAGGGAGGGAGAATCTTCACATAGTTGTCAATTTGTGAAAGTCTCAGACTTTCCATTCCCATGTCAGAGTCATTTGCCAAGTCAGGGTCAGATCTTGCAGTCTCATGACCACAGCAAGGTCATAAAGGTATGGTGCCAAGTTTTGATAAAAATATTTGGGTTGTTTGTTGTGAGCTTCTGCACAGAACCTGGCACTGGATACCATGAAAACTAGCTGCTCTTGGGGTATCTCTGCTGGCAGCTTATAAGAGATTTGGGTATTGCCATCATTGCTTGGTATGTATCCTTTTCATATTATGCTTTTAAATCGGTTTGCTTGAGTTAACAATGACATTTAACATTTTTAAAAAATCCACTGATATGCTGCATATCTCAAGATTCAAAAGAACCAATTGCCTGGGCATTTGATCACTGCCCTAACACTTGGCAAAAGTGACCCTTTGCATACTATTAGCAATAAAGGTTTTGCTCCAAAAGGCAAAAACTAAAGAGGCAGGGCAGTGGTGGGTTCCTCCCGGTTCGGCTGAGCCGGTAGCGGTGACGATATGACGTCACCGAACCGGTTCTCTTTGTTTGGGAGCTGCCGGCCCCTGCGTTATTCTTACCTTTTATTTGGCCCACCCCCAATCTATTCGCAGCCTCCCGAGTCCCAGCTGATCGGCTAGAAGGAAAAAACCTGTTTAAACTCTTGCCGCGGGGCTTCAAAGGGCCACCTTATAGCTGATCAGTGTTAAAAGGCAGTGTGGTGGTAGACCAGTGCGCTGGAAAAACAAATGGGTAGACTGGTGCGCTCCAAAAACAAATGGGTAGACTGGTGCCTCCAAAAACTAATGGGTAGACCGGAACGCTCCAAGAACAAATGGGTAGACCGGTACAGCTCTTCAAGCAGTTAAAAGCTTGGTAGACTAGTACCTCTGCTAAATCCTAAAGAATTGTCACATGACCATCAAACCACGCCCACAAAATAAGCCACCGGAACCGGTGGTAAAATTTTTTAGAACCTACCCCTGAGGCAGGGGATAAGGGGCAAGAAATTATACAGCATGGCAAGTATTTTTATTTTAACAAACTTATTTGAATGGATATGCTTAAAATACTTCCTCAAACACAAATTGTATTTTAATTAGAAAAAAAATGACAGCGCATTGAGGAAGACAAATCTTTATGCAAGATTCTGGAAGAATAAATAATCGATCCTGAATCAGAAGCAAACTAGATTTAAAACACGCAAAGGGACGCACATACCATCTGTTGGGAATACCTTAAAAGTAGTTATGAGCAGCTGCTACTGCATGACCTCGGAAAAAGATACACAGAGGTTAAGATCTTCCCAAATAGG